ACTCGCGACTCGGAGGTTAACACGGCGGAGAATGCGACCAAGTACAGGCGCATTAACGAAAATATCGGTTGCCTCTTGAACATCGCCAGGCGCCTTACCGAGAACATCGCGCCTCTGCAGGACTTCGAAGGTAAACGTGATGCGGCGCTACGTATGCTAGTGGGAGTTACCGAGAGGCTTGAGGGTTTGCAGAGGTTCTTGGATGACCCGATCATTTCCTCGACTACCATTATCCCGCAGGTGCCGCCGCCGTTACCTGAGTTGCCCCCGACGGCAGCACCCGCCAAGGCGCCACCCGTTGCCGTCGCCGCGGCAGTCGGGCCCATGGCCACGGGCGCGCCCCCAGTGCAGCAGGTTAACGTGGCTCCATCAGGCAAAGCTCCCCCGACTCAGGACCTGGCCGGCGCAACCACTAAAGCCGGGAGGAGTCGACGGTCCGTGTCGCCGAACAAGATCCGACCGTCAACGTTGAGCCGGCAGGGCGGTGAAGAGCCACAGCCTGTTTACAAGCGGGCGCCGAAGGCCATGCATGAGCGTAAACGGGAGCTGGAAGAATTGATGCAGATAGGCATGAAGATGGACGAGGATCGAGCGGTTGGTGGTCAACGTGATGAGGTGCCAAAGGATCCTGCCCCCGCCGTAAACGTGAGGCCGGCCAAGCCGCCCCCTCCGGGGCTCGGCGAGTCCAGAGCGGCAAGCAGCGTTAGCGGCATGAAGCCCCCGCCTCCAGAGCCCAAGAGGTTACCGATCCAGCGCATCCCGCCACCGCAGCCTCAAGTCGTTAACCGCACGAATGATCAGCCTGCGGGATACTCCAGGACCGTCGCCAAGGCCGTGTACCGCCCGCTGTACCACGTCAACGGTCGCATGCCCATGCTGAACGACAGGAGCGACGACTGCGACGTTAACTATAAGGCGGAACCTGACCCCAGGGAAGTGGTAGCCTTAACGATGAAGACACGTGACAACTGGCGCAGGTTTGAGGGTAACTTCGTTGGGCACGTGGCGAAGGCGGGGTTAACGACCCCTGGCGGCAGGTCTATTCAGGGCAACACAGGGCGAGAGCTTAACGATTACGATGACGTGTTCGTTGACATCTTTGGCCAACATGCTTACGGTTTCATCGGCTATGCCGTGTTGGAAGGTCCGAGCAGCTGGAGATCTCAGTTAACGGAGAAAGAGTTGACCAAGCATGATGAATGGGTTGACGCGGTTGGGCACGTACAGTCCCTATTTGATGATGAGTACGTGCCACCACTCCACGTTGACGAGCTTCACCCATCGTGGTTTGAGCTCCACAGTTGCCCGGGCACGCAGGTGTACGTCAACAAGGTGCCGGAGATGAACGAGAAGCAGCTTAACGGTCTCCTCTTAACGTGGGCAGGAATGCTGCCCCACGGCAACCCCGCCGTGATCTCCGTTAAGCACCTGGTGGAGGACACCCGTGGGCCGCACGGTTACATCTCGACTGGAGTTACCGTGATTCGCTTTGCGACGCCCGATCTCGCCAAGCTTTACTGCCGTTACATGAACGGGCTCCAGGTGCATTACCGTAACTACTTCATCGACGACCTCGAGGTCAGGAGCACCGAGGAGTTAAAGGGCAGTATCAACAAGCCTCCAGTCCACTGGCACCAGACCATCTTGGACGTTGCCCTTAACGATCAGGGATCCATGAGGGCACTTTACCGTGATAATTGGCCTGCCGATCATGTCACCGAGCGTAAAAGCGATCACCGTGAGAAGCTTTGCTGGTTTGGCTGGTTACCGTGCGACGACTTCCCCAACTGGCTTACCGATCCGGCCTGGACTGCGAACCCGTTTACCGGCGCTGCGGTCGAAGAGCGCCTCCGTAACAATCCAGGCGGTGGGCCTCTGTTGAAGGCTCACAACGCCAGTTACTGGAGGGCCATCGGCACCTACCACAACATCGTTGACGGCTCCATTAAGAGCTACGATGAGGGGTGCTGGCTTGACGACGATGAACGCATTAACGCGTACCTGGACACCGACTACTACAGCCCGATGCAGGCCCTTAACAGGGTGTCGTCCTACACCGCGGCCAGCGTGGGACACCGCGGGTTGCCGAGGTCGAGGGGTTCACGAGCCCCATCGGCGAGGCGCCCGCGCCGTTCGTGAAAGACGGCAGGCAGTCAGCATGCTGCAGTTTACGCTCTTTCTCATCTCCCCTCTTAACTTGGCTTAACGATCGAGTGGCGATAGCTTGTTGAGCTGAGTTTGCTTGCATGCGCATCTCTTGTTGTTGCCGCAGGTATTGGCGAATAAAAAGCGAAAGCAGTCAAAATCATCCAAATGCTAGCCTGCTGTGTAAACTTTAGATGCTTCGTTTGAACTTGTGACAGTAAAAGCGTTTACTCGAGCTCAGGTTACATGTGTGAGAAATTTGGTGCTCGTAAGCGCAGTCGCGAGATATTCTGAATTCAGCAATATGATGATTTGCGTGCAACGTTTTGCATAGTTTAACCTGTTTTTGCGTTTGTAGACACCTCCCCGTCAGCCTATACGGACTAGCGTCCGAGGGGGGTGTTAACGTGTAAGCGTTCAGGTGACTGGGGAGGGAAGGTGACCCTGTTACCTTTGGCTCACGGCTGAAGCCACCGAGACTCGCTTCGCCGCGCGGGAGTAAAAAGGTGACCGATCGTCATCGCTGTCACTGGGCTCCCGTGCAGAACCCTCCTCGGGGTTTTGCAGGAGGAGGAGGAGGAGGAGGAGGAGGAGGAGGAGGAGGAGGAGGAGGAGGAGGAGGAGGAGGAGGATGAGGCCCCACAGGAGGCCCCAGGTGGGCCTCAAGAGGGCCCCGTGAGCGACCCAAGAGGAGGAGCCGGTGTTCGGCCCTCTGCGCGCTCCGAGGCCGTGGGGAGAATCGTGCGTGCTGGCCGCCTCTCTCCTCGCTTCTCGCTCTCCTCGAGCTCCGGCTCCGCTCCTCGTTCCTCGCCCGCCACTCCTCGCCCGCCTTCCTTGCTCCTCCCTTCTCGCTCCACCTCGCCCCTCGCAGCTCTCTCTCCTGGCCCACTGACGTTTCCTCTTTGTCCACTCGCACCTCCCTCCCTTCCGCCTGCGGCTCTCTCCCTCGTCCCTCCTCGTCCCTCTCTCGCGCCTCTGCCGCTGCTCGTCCCTTCCCGCTCCCTGCTCCTCGCTCCCCGACGATTGCTCCTCACTTTTCCTGCCTCCCAGCTCGATCCTGACTCGTCGCGACTTGCTAAGCGCTCCTCGACCCTCTCACAAGCAGCAGGTTGTGAGCAGCACATAGCACGAAGTAAGCAGCAGCAGCGGCAGTACACGCAACATATTTGACTTGACATTTCGTGCTTTTAGGCTCGAACGGGGGGGGATCTTGTCTCATGGTTTCGGTGCATGCTCGTGTCGACGATGATCACGTGGTGGACGCATGTGGGCGGATTTCGAGCAGCAGCATGCAGCAGGCAGCGGCACCCTGCAGCAGCACGCAGCAAGCAACACCGGGCAACCAGCAGCACATTGCAGCCGCAAACGGCAGCAGCAAACAGCAGTGGAGACACTACCAACAGCACGCAACAGCGACAGACATCAACAGCACCCCGCAATCAGCAGGCATGCAGCAACAACCAGCACCAATCAGCAGCACGCAGCAGCGCCAAGCCGCATCAATCAGCAGCAGCAAGCAACGGCCACAACCAGCTCGTGCTGGTGAAACCAGAGCAGCACGTGTGTAGAACTCTATGACAGGCAGCACTAAGCAGCACCAACAGGCAGAAAGCGGCAGCGACCTGTGGGGCGAAACAAACAAGTCATGCGATCTGGCTAAAAGCTATCATGCCACCAGGAGCTGGAGGAGGAGGAGAAGGAGGAGGAGGAGGAGGAGAAAGGGGGGATGATGATGATGATGATGATGATGATGATGATGATGATGATGATGATGATGATGATGATGATGATGATGATGATGATGATGATGATGATGATGATGATGATGATGATGATGATGATGATGATGATGATGATGATGATGATGCTGCTGCTGCTGCTGATGATGATGATGCTGATGCTGATGATGATGATGATGATGATGATGATGATGATGATGATGATGCTGATGATGATGATGATGATGATGATGATGATGATGATGATGATGATGATGATGATGATGATGATGATGATGATGATGATGATGATGATGATGATGATGATGAGGATGAGGATGAGGAGGAGGAGGAGGAGGAGGAGGAGGAGGAGGAGGAGGAAGAAGAGGAGGAGGAAGAGGGGGAGGAGGAGGAGGAGGAGGAGGAGGAGAAGGAGGAGGAGTTGGAGGAGAAGGAGGAGGATGAAGCTAGCAACCACGCAAGCATGACAGCAGCCGAACAGGCAAGCAAGCGAGCGATCCTCAGCCTTGCATATGCGGTTCCCCTTTGCGTGCACGATACTCCACGGCGCTCTCTCCTGGCGGCTTCCCCCCAGGCTCGGCGCTCATCCGAGCCACTCCTTCCTTGTGCTTTTCTCTTCGCACTTTGCTCCTCGCGCTCCTCACTGCTCCCTCCTCGTTCATTCGGCGGCGAGGGAGGAGGGGAAATAAGAAGGAGAAGGCCTTCTCAGAAGGTTCGGAAGTCCCCTGGCCTTCTGAGAAGTTTTCTAAGCATTCTCCGAAAACAAATATACTTCTCAGAAGGCGCGAGGGCTTCTGAGAAGCGCCGCCGCCTTCTGAGAAGGCCTTCTCGTTCTCACTTCCCCCCCTCGCTCGCGGCCGATTCATGTATACTCATGCCTGCAAGCCCATTCCTCCCTCAGCGCATCTTATGCCGTGCCATGCGGCCTCAGGGCCCTCGAGAGCGACCCAGAGAACCCCGTCTCGCTGCTCCCTGCTCGTTTCTTGCCCGTTCCTGGCGGCTCGCGCCCGACGTCATCGCGAACGACTTTCGGCAGCGCTTCCTCCAGCACACCACATGCCAATTCGGGCAGATGTCGTGGACAGTTGTCCACGGGCTGGCTCTACTCATCGACAGTAACCTACAACGCAGGGATCAGCGCGTGCGAGAAGGGCGAGCAGTGGCAGCAGGCTCTTTCTCTGCTCTACCGGATGCGGGCGGCGAGTTTGGAGCCAGACGTCATCAGGCTGCGCTGTCGCAGACGTCCGCAACCGCGCTGTTGGCTGTTGTCGCCATCGGTGGTCGGTCGTTGTCATCGTCGTCGTCGCCGTCGCCGTCGCCGTCCGCATCGTCGTGGATGGGGTGCAGAGGTGTGCAGAGGGGACAGTCAATTGAAGGCGCCGCCTGGAGTCTGGAGCTCCGCATTCGGCTTTGCGCTCCCAAACCCTGCGGCTGGTGTACGGGCGTGGGCCTGGGCGGCTGCCGGCCTAGGCGGCGCCGGCGCTAGCAGGCCGAGGCGGTGGCGCTGGCGGGGCGGGTACGCGCGTGGAAAAATTACCCCGGTGACGTACCCAACCACTGCGTAATGCGGGGCAGGAGAATCTTAGGAGATTTGACGAAAAGGCGGCGACGTGACATGGACGCATATACTTCTGCGAGCGGCCTTTGGAAGGTTCGAGGGTCCCCAATTAAGGGAATAACGATGAGTAACTAAGTGAACACCCGAGTCACTAAGGAAGACGCAAGGTCTAAAAGGAGACTGTAGGCAAGGGGCTTGGAACGTCGGCGGGGCAGCAACAACATGACATGGCCGCCCAGGGACGGCGAGGTCCCGCTCAGGTCCGCGCGGTGCCTCACCCCGCTGGTCCCACCAGGAGCCTTCGAAAGTGGCGAGCCCACCAGAAGCCCTCGAAAGTGGCGACGGCTTCGCATATCGCAGCCCCCCAGGGACGGCGAGGTCTCGCTCAGGTCCGCGCGGTGCTTCACTCCGCTGGACCTACCAGTAGCCTTCGAAAGTGGCGACAGTTTCGCAGATCGCAGCCCCCCAGGGGCGGCGAGGTCTCGCTCGGGTCCGCGTGGTGCCCCACTCCGCTAGGCCCACCAGCAGCCCTCGAAAGTGGCGACAGTTTCGCAGATCGCAGCCCCCCAGGGGCGGCGAGGTCTCGCTCAGGTCCGCGCGGTGCCGTGCTCCGCTGGACCCGCCAGGCGCCCTTGAAAGTGGCGACAGTTTCGCAGATCGCAGCCCCCCAGGGGCGGCGAGGTCTCGCTCAGGTCCGCGCGGTGCCTCACTCCGCTGGACCCACCAACAGCCCTCGACAGTGGCGACAGTTTCGCAGATCGCAGCCCCCGAGGGGCGGCGAGGTCTCGCTCAGGTCCGCGCGTTGCCTCACTCCGCTGGACCCACCAGGAGCCCTCGAACGTGGCGACAATTGCAACCCCCCAGGGGCGGCGAGGTCTCGCTCAGGTCCGCGCGTTGCCTCGCTCCGCTGGACCCACCAGCAGCCCTCGACAGTGTCGACAGTTTCGCAGATCGCAGCCCCCCAGGGACGGCGAGGTCTCGCTCAGGTCCGCGCGGTGCCTCACTCCGCTGGGCCCACCAGCAGCCCTCGAAAGTGGCGGCAGTTTCGCAGATTGCAGCCCCCCGGGGACGGCGAGGTCTCGCTCAGGTCCGCGCGGTGCCGTGCTCCGCTGGACCCGCCAGGCGCCCTTGAAAGTGGCGACAGTTTCGCAGATCGCAGCCCCCCAGGGGCGGCGAGGTCTCGCTCAGGTCCGCGCGGTGCCTCACTCCGCTGGACCCGCGAGGCGCCCTCGAAAGTGGCGACAGTTGCAGCCCCCAGGGGCGGGGAGGTCTTGCTCAGGTCCGCGCGTTGCCTCGCTCCGCTGGACCCACCAGCAGCCCTCGACAGTGGCGACGGCTTCGCAGATCGCAGCCCTCCATGGACGGCGAGGTCTCGCTCAGGTCCGCGCGGTGTTTCGCTCCGCTGGGCCTACCAGTAGTATTTGAAATTGGCGACAGTTTCGCAGATCGCAGCCCCCCAGGGGCGGCGAGGTCTCGCTCAGGTCCGCGCGGTGCGTCACTCCGCTGGACCCACCAGGAGCCTTCGAACGTGGCGACAGTTTCGCAGATCGCAGCCCCTCACCTGCCAATTTCGGCACACCCGTCACGGGCCCATAGGAGCTCTACCCTCCCAAGGCCCCAGCGGCAGGGTCCGCATGTGCCCCCCCCCGCCCATTCGACACACCCCTCACGAGGATCGTGGCCCCAAAGGGAGCTCCACCGAGGGCCCCAACGGCAGGGTCCGCATGCGCTCCCCAGCGTATTTTGGCACATTTCTCACGAGGATCTTGGCTCCATAGGGGGCTCCACCGAAGGCCTCAGCGGCAGGGTCCGCATGCGTCCTCCTGCCCATTTTGGCACACCCCTCACGGGCTCATAGGGAGCTCTACCCACCCAAGGCCCCAGCGGCAGGGTCCGCATGTGCACCCCCGCCCATTCGACACACCCCTCACGAGGATCGTAGCCCCAAATGGAGCTCCACCGAAAGCCCCCAACGGCAGGGTCCGCATGCGTCCCCCAGCCTATTTTGGCACACCTCTTACGAGGATCTTGGCCCCATAGGGAGCTCCACCGAAGGCCTCTGCGTCCTCCTGCCCATTTCGGCACACCCCTCACGGGCCCATAGGGAGCTCTACCCACCCAAGGCCCCAGCGGCAGGGTCCGCATGAGCCCCGCCGCCCATTCGACACACCCCTCACGAGGATCGTGGCCCCAAAGGGAGCTCCACCGAGGGCCCCAGCGGCAGGGTCTGCATGCGCCCCCCAGCCTATTTTGGCACACCTCTCACGAGGATCTTGGCCCCATAGGGGGCTCCACCGAAGGCCTCAGCGGCAGAGTCCGCATGCGTCCTCCTGCCCATTTCGGCACACCCCTCACGGGCTCATAGGGAGCTCTACCCACCCAAGGCCCCAGCGGCAGGGTCCGCATGCGCCCCGCCGCCCATTCGACACACCCCTCACGAGGATCGTGGCCCCAAAGGGAGCTCCACCGAAGGCCCCTGCGGCAGGGTCCGCATGCGCCCCCCAGCCTATTTTGGTACACCTCTCACGAGGATCTTGGCTCCATGAGAGGGCTCCACCGAAGGCCTCAGCGGCAGGGTCCGCATGCGTCCTCCTACCCATTTCGGCACACCCTTCACGTGCCCATAGGGAGCTCTACCCACCCAAGGCCCCAGCGGCAGGGTCCGCATGCGCCCCGCCGCCCATTCGACACACCCCTCACGAGGATCGTGGCCCCAAAGGGAGCTCCACCGAAGGCCCCTGCGGCAGGGTCCGCATGCGCCCCCCAGCCTATTTTGGTACACCTCTCACGAGGATCTTGGCTCCATGAGAGGGCTCCACCGAAGGCCTCAGCGGCAGGGTCCGCATGCGCCCCCCTGCCCATTTCGGCACACCCCTCACGGGCCCATAGGGAGCTCTACCCATCCAAGGCCCAAGCGGCAGGGTCCGCATGCGCCCCGCCGCCCATTCGACACACCCCTCATGAGGATCGTGGCCCCAAAGGGAGCTCCACCGAAGGCCCCAGCGGCAGGGTCCGCATGCGTCCCCCAGCCTATTTTGGCACACCTCTCACGAGGATCTTGGCCCCATAGGGAGCTCCGACGAATGCCCCAGCGGCTTGGTCCGCATGCGTCCCGCCGCCCATTCGACACACCCCTCACGAGGATCGTGGCCCCAAAGGGAGCTCCACCGAATGCCCCAGTGGCAGGGTCTGCATGCGCCCCCCCTCATTTGCACACCTCTTACGAGGATCGTGACCCCATAGGAAGCTCCACCGAAGGCCCCAGTTGCAGGATCCGCATGCGTCCCCCCGCTCCTTTCGGTACACTCCTCACGATGATCGTGGCCGCCTCAGTGGCAGGGTCCGCATGCGATTCTGTACTCACTGTATCTTACCGTATGTACTGGTCAAGTACACTCCCTTCCTGAGGATATGCGTCAAAGTTTACTGGTTTTCCTCCCCAAGGGCTCGGACCCTAGGCTCGTTCCAGGTAGGGCTCAGCTTGCTCGGCACCCATCTGTCACACGGCCGCTGAGCATGAGCAACACAGATGTGAAGCTGCTTGCCAACGCCTTTGTCATCCCGCTCGCCTCGCACACATCCAGTCTTATTGGTCCTGAACAAGCTTGTGTTCGTGATCGTGACATCTTAGCACATGTTGTTCGGGCTGAGGCGTGGGGCATCGCTCACAACATGCGTGGCGAGAAGTACTCGTCCCTCTTGCTCACCGATTTCGCCTCTGCCTTCCCCTCCCTCTCTACCTCGTGGCTCTTTCACGCTCTTCGGAGCATGAATATCCCTCTCACACGATTAAGTTCTTCGAGATGATGTATGCACACAATATTGCGCATATTACTCTCGCTGGTCGCCGTTTCGATTCGATCGACATCTGCTCTGGCGTGAAGCAAGGCTGCCCTGCATCCATGTTCCTTTTCGTGCTCGCGGTGGACCCTCTGCTTCGGTGGATCCGACACAGGTGTTCGATCCACATCAGTATTCACCAGGCATATGCTGATGACTTCCTATTCGGTCTGGTGGACACTCTCAGGGACTTAGGCCCTGTTCTATCTGCGCTGACGACGCTGGGCAAGGTTGCCAATCTCCACCTGAACTTTAAGAAATGCCAGATAGTCGTGTGCTCTGAACTAGATCGTGATAGGATTCGAGATTTTATTGCCTCCTTGGGGCCCCCGTTCAAGGACTTGGTGGTATGTTTTAGAGCTCTGTACTTGGGTATCCCTATTGGGCCTGACGCTCACAACAAGGTCTGGGAAGATATTGCCCCGAAATTCCATCATCGGGTTAGGCACACCAGAGGTCTTGGTCTTGGGATTACGTTATCTGCCATCTCCTTTCGGGTGATGTGCGTGTCGCTCTTGCTCTTCAGGTTCCAGATGTACCCTCCCAGCCAAGCACTCACCAATATTTGCAAAGAAGGGGTGCACCTATTGACAATTGGACCTAGGAATGCAATTCCGTACAATCTGGCGACCAAGTTTAAGGAACTCGGATTCGGTGCTGAGTTCACGGACATCCACGCTGTCGCCAGAGCCGCCTGTATCATGTATATGCTGCGCTCCCCTGTCTTTCCCCAAGTGCTTGCTGACCTCGAGGAGTCTCGGGAGGGCGTTGAACACATCCCTTACCGGTGGCTCTGTGGTTGGCATAAGAACTCTTTCATTTCATACATGCGTGGGCTTCATCGTTGGTACCTCTCCCTTCACTTCACCTTTCGCATGATATAACACAAATCGTTGCAATCCAAGCTGTACGCTCTCACCCGCCAACACACGCCAACTGAGAATGCCAAACTTTTTTTTTCGTAGAGCATGGTACTTCATTCCAGATGCCAGCGCTGACCTCGTCGACGTTTTTTGCTTGAATGTTAAACGAGTAGTGAAGGACTCCTCCATGTACTTAGGCGTGGCACCGCTACGCTTGTTGACTGCCTCTTTCAACACCAGTGCTCGTTTTCATAGCAAGCCCATGGGATGCCTATTCGGTTGTGCTCCGCCTTCCCCTGGGAATGACTTTGATTCGATTGGCCATTAATGTACCTGCCCTGGACTTCGGGAGTTGGTGAGTAAATGGTTAGGTCAACATCTTGAAAGCTACATTGGACCCATATATGGACCACAAGGTGGACGACCGTACTGGTTCTGTCTCTCCTTCTTCTCTTCCGTGCACCTCCTACAGCCTGCCTGCTGCGTGCTGCATGTTGTGACGCATTTCTAACTGCTCACAATGCTCGACGACTGTCCAAGCCTGGGTCGGTTGAGCAACATGTCGAGAGCCGTTTCAGAGTGACGGCAAGAAGGCATAGAGCTATACCTGATGCGTGGTCTAGGCGCCCCTCGTCCGTGGTCCACAGGCTTGCGCCCTGCCCCCCCCTCCTCGCCCCCTCCTTTCGGGCCCTCCCGCCGAGGCGCTGCCGAGCAGGGTGCCAGGCACCCCCCGCGGCAGGTGGGAGCCTCCCGCGGCCAGGGCCCCCTCCCCCCCTCGGCGCAGGCCGTGTGGACCTCCGGAGTCACAGCCCCCGCGCAGTGCGGAGCTCTTGCCAACGCCGTTGACAGAACATCAAGCAAATCATGCTCACAGGGTGAGTTGACAAATTACCCTGCGACGTACCCAACCCACGTGCATCAAATGGCAAGAGGAATATGCCAACATTAGCAGGAACAACGACAGTGTAGACGCGGCGATTTGCTGTGCAAGCTACATGGGATGCGCATGCGTTGCACGATTTACAGGGCGACGATCGAAAGAACGAGGCTTGAGGCCCCAGGATCGAAGAAGAACGGGTACGGGAACGAGGGGTAGGAGAGGGATGGAATGGAGGGCGGGGGGGGCGAAAGGCCATCGCGGAAGCAGCAGCGCGCATGGAGAAGGTGAGGCGGGGAATAGGACGACGATGAAAGTGGCGGGAGGAGACAGAAGACTGCCGCGTTTTTCAAGTGCGAGCTAAACCCGCAGCGCTGCCTGCGCCATGTCGTCGCAGAGTTCCACATGATAAAACTTGGTTAGAGTGCAAGGAACGAGCGAGGCGTAGCTCGCCCGCTAGCTTCTCCGCCTCCTTCCCGCACATTTCAGCGCGGGAGCTGAACGCTCGCAGGCGCGCCGCCAGGTCTGCGGGCGGCCCGCGGGAAAGAAACTCAAGGCCGGGGTCGCGCATCATCAATCGGTTGTCCATCGTCCAAAGTTGCACTGGCGACGTACTTGTTGAACGCGGAGCGAGCAGCATCACGCGCGTGCCTGAACGCCACGCAGGTACAGTGCACGCGCGATTGGGACTTCAGGTCGATCACGCGCGTCTCCACCAGGCTTGGCAACACCACGCGACTGAGGATCTCACTGCGGTCTGCCATGCTGCTGTCCGCGAATGCAATGCGCTGCCTGCAAGTAAGGCGGCGGCGTCCACTTGTCTCAGAAGATGTTCCCGCGGGCCCGAAGGGCGACCGCCAGCTCGAGCCGCGGCGCCGGCAGGCCAGATAAGGATCATGCAACAGCAAAGACGATGACAGAGCAACGAGGTATCGGCGAGTGCATGACCGGCCTCCGTTTCCTGCACTTCTTTCCTGTAGTTCCCCTAGCTCATCGAGCTCAGCAGATGTTTCTGCGGGTCCGAAGGACGACCGCCAGCTCGAGTCGCAGCGCCACGTGGCACGAACCGCAGAGCAAGGGCACGCGAGCATTGCTCGTGGTCAGAATCTGAGTCCCCGTGGTGCCTCACTCCGCTGGCCACCCACCAGCAGCCCTCGAAAGTGGCGACCGTTTCACAGATCGCAGCCGCCCAGGGGTGGCGAGGTCTAATCTGAGTCCCCGTGGTGCCTCACTCCGCTGGACCCACCAGCAGCCTCGAAAGTGGCGACAGTTTCACACAGGGATGGCGAGGTCTAATCTGAGTCCCCGTGGTGCCTCACTCCGCTGGACCCACCAGCAACCCTCGAAAGTGGCGACAGTTTCACAGATCGCAGCCCCCCAGAGATGGCGAGGTCTAATCTGAGTCCCCGTGGTGCCTCACTCCGCTGGACCCACCAGCAGCCCTCGAAAATGGCGACAGTTTCACAGATCGCAGCCCTCCAGAGATGGCGAGGTCTAATCTGAGTCCCCGTGGTGCCTCACTCCGCTGGACCCACCAGCAGCCCTCGAAAGTGGTGACAGTTTCACAGATCGCAGCCCCCCCCAGAGATGGCGAGGTCTAATCTGAATCCCCGTGGTGCCTCACTCCGCTGGACCCACCAGCAGCCCTCGAAAGTGGCGACAGTTTCACAGATCGCAGCCCCCCCCCCCAGGGATGGCGAGGTCTAATCTGAGTCCCCGTGGTGCCTCACTCCGCTGGACCCACCAGCAGCCCTCGAAAGTGGTGACAGTTCCGCAGATCGCAGCCCGCCAGGGATGACGTGAAAGGCAAGAGAAGAGAAGAGGAGGAGCGAAGAGAGGAGGAGAAGGCAAGCAAGAGAGGAGAGGAGGAGGGAAGAGAGGGGGGGGGCGGGAAGGAAGGAAGGTGGAGACCGCAGTGCTCTATTCAAAACGAGTACCCAACGCAGGAGGGTTGGGAAAAAAATGGCAGGGTCCGCGTGTGTCCTCCTGCCCATTTCGGCATACCACTCACGAAAGTCGTGGCCTCATATGGAGCCCCACCGAAAGCGGTACCCACAACGCGGTATTCACAATTGCATATGGCTGGGCCTTTCGCCAGGATAGTGCTATACCGTTCTTTGCCCGCTAGCCCCTTGAAGGAGGGGATGGAGGGTGGTCCGTGAGACTTCCCCTTTGTACCTGCAGGGGGAACCGCTGGGGCTCTTTGGTCTTGTGAACTTTCTCCCTAACCTCCTGTTCTCGTCTGTTCCGGCCTGGCCTGGCCTGGCCTGGCTGTGGTCCAGCGTAGTTTGGAAACGATCTTGCTTGGTCTGGCCTGGTTGTGTACGTCGTGATTCCTTATTTTGTCTGGTCTGAAAGGAGGGGAAGATGGAGGGGGAGGATGAACGGGAGGAGCAGGAAAGGAAAGGCAGAGGCAGAGAGAGAGAGAGAGATAGAGAGGGATAGAGAAAGGGCGAGCAGGGAGACATGGTAAAACACAGAGCAGTGCAATACAGAAAATGGTGTCTCTTAGGGGGCTCTGGGGGGTCTCTTGGGCATATTTCGTTGTGGGTGCAGGTGCTTCCGCTCGCGAGCATGCCGCGCCCTCCCCCCTCTTCTCTCTCCTCGCTCCTCGCTATTGTCGCTCTTCTCTCTTTCCTCCTCGCTCCTCTTGCCTTCTCCTCCTCACCCCTCACGCCTCGCTCCTCCCTCTCCCCTCTCCTCCCCATCCTGAGGCCCTCACAACGCTCAGAGAGAGCCCCACAGCGTCACTGCACGTGTTCCAATTTCGCTGAGGGTGCCCATGCATGCCCTTGCTCACACACGACTTTAGAAACGGCGCATCCCGTTCTGCCCAACTCAAGTGGTTCAATGGGTTTGGGTCTGGAGAGGTTTCCAGACACATACCACACTTCTAACATCGTCTTGGAGTGGCTCTTCTGGCAGAGTGACCGTACTAGTTGCACAAGGCGTGCCGCGTCGCGATGAGCAAAAAGAAGATGTAGCCGACCGGCATGACCCATTTAGCTATAACTCTGGGATCAGCGCGTGCGAGAAAGGCGAGCAGTGGCAGTGTGCCTTATCGCTGCTCGGCGAGATGTGGTCGATCAAGTTGGAGCCTGACGTCAGTGATGATTGCTGAGTGCAACATTCAGGCACCCGCGTGTTGCAGTGCATGGGAAGCCAATCTGAACAGCGATTGCCGAGCAGCATGATCTTTCCATTGGCCCCATGTATGCTTGACTTCAAGGGAGGACCCCCCCAGACCAGATAAGTGGCGTTTACTGCGCGGCCCTGGGCGTTTGCTAAGCAGCCATGCCCTGTTCGATTCCTTCTGTGAGTGCGGCTACTAAACGGCTTCGCGTGTCTGGGTGACTATTCTGGGGGCGGGTTTTCTGCCCTCTATGATTGCAATTCTGACCTCGGACTGCCGCTTCCTGCGCGGCCTGCGCCTTTTCCCTTGCCGAGCCGACGTACCGTGCCACATGGCCTGCGAACGAGAGATGACGAGGAGGAGGAGGAGGAGGAGGAGGAGGAGGAGGAGGAGGAGGAGGAGCAGGAGGAGGAGGAGGAGGAGGAGAGGAGGAGGAGGAGGAGGAGGCGGAGGAGGAGGAGGAGGAGGAGGAGGAGGAGGAGGAGGGAGGCGGAGGCGGAGGGGGAGGCGGAGGCGGAGGCGGAGGCGGAGGAGGAGGAGGATGAGGAGGAGGAGAGAGAGGAGGAGGAGGAGGAGGAGGAGGAGGAGGAGGAGGAGGAGGTGGACGAGGAGGAGGAGGAGGAGGAGGAGGAGGAGGAGGAGGAGGAGGAGGAGGAGGAGGAGGGGAGGAGGAGAGGAGGGGGGAAAGGAGGAAAAGCAGGAGGAGGAGGAAGAGGAGGAGGAGGAGGACGGGAACGGGGATGGGCAGGAGGAGGAGGAGGAGGAAGAGGAGGAGGAGGAGGAAGAAGAGGAGAAGGAGGAGGAGGAGAAGGAGGAGGAGGAGGAGCAGGATTGTTACGGCTTTCGTTTAAGGCACGGGTAATGTTTTATCGCTTCGTGCCCTAACAATGGTGGCACGCTAAACCACCGCATGAGGGGTCAACGCGTGAAGGGCCAATGCCCCAGCATGAGGTGGTCAACGCATGAGGGGCAAATTCCCCAGCATGAGGGGGTCAGGGCATGAGGAGCCGAAGCCCCGGCATGAGGGGTCAGCGCATGAAGGGCCAATGCCCCAGCATGAGGGGGGCAACGCATGGGGGGTCGAAGCCCCGGCATGAGGGGTCAACGCATGAAGGTGCAATGCCCCAGCATGAGGTGGTCAACGCATGAGGGGCCAGCCAAGGCCCCAGCATGAGGTGTCAGGGCATGAAAGGCCGAAGCCCTGGCACGAGAGGTCAACGCATGCAGGGCCATTGCCCCAGCATGAGGGGGTCAACGCATGAGGGGCCAGCCAAGGCCCCAGCAAGAGGGGGGTCAGGGCATGAGGGGCCGAAGCCCTGGCATGCGGGGTCAACGCATGAAGGGCCAATGCCCCAGCATGAGGGGGTCAACGCATGAGGGGCCAGCCAAGGCCCCAGCATGGGGGGTCAGGGCATGAGGGGTCAATGCATGAAAGGCCGATGCCCTGGCATGAGGGGTCAACGCATGAAGGGCCAATGCCCCAGCATGAGGGGGTCAACGCATGAGGGGCCAGCCAAGGCCCCAGCATGGGGGGTCAGGGCATGAAGGGTCAACGCATGAAAGGCCGAAGCCCTGGCATGAGGGGTCAACGCATGAAGGCCAATGCCCAAGCATGAGGGGGTCAACACATGAGGGGCCAGCCAAGGCCCCAGCATGGGGGGGTCAGGGCATGAGGGGTCAACGCATGAAAGGCCGAAGCCCTGGCAGCATGAGGGGTCAACGCATGAAGGGGCAATGCCCCAGCATGAGGGGGTCAATGCTCGAGGGGCCAGCCAAGGCCCCAGCATGGGGGGTCAGGGCATGAGGGGTCAACGCATGAAAGGCCGAAGCCCTGGCATGAGGGGTCAACGCATGAAGGGCCAATGCCCCAGCATGAGGGGGTCAACGCATGAGGGGCCAGCCAAGGCCCCAGCATGGGGGGTCAGGGCATGAGGGGTCAACGCATGAAAGGCCGAAGACCCTGGCATGAGGGGTCAACGCATGAAGGGCCAATGCCCCTGCATGAGGGGGTCAACACATGAGGGGCCAGCCAAGGCCCCCAGCATGGGGGGTCAGGGCATGAGGGGTCAACGCATGAAAGGCCGAAGCCCTGGCATGAGGGGTCAACGCATGAAGGGCCAATGACCCAGCATGAGGGGGTCAACGCATGAGGGGCCAGCCAAGGCCCCCAGCATGGGGGGTCAGGGCATGAGGGGTCAACGCTTGAAAGGCTGAAGCCTTGGCATGAGGGGTCAACGCATTAAGGGCCAATGCCCCAGCATGAGGGGGTCAACGCATGAGGGGCCAGCCAAGGCCCCAGCATGGGGGGTCAGGGCATGAGGGGTCAACGCATGAAAGGCTGAAGCCTTGGCACGAGGGGTCAACGCATTAAGGGCCAATGCCCCAGCATGAGAGGGGCAACGCATGAGGGGCCAGCCAAGGCCCCAGCATGAGGGGGGCAACGCATGGGGGGTCGAAGCCCCGGCATGAGGGGTCAACGCATGAAGGTGCAATGCCCCAGCATGAGGTGGTCAACGCATGAGGGGCCAGCCAAGGCCCCCAGCATGGGGGCTCAGGCCATGAGGGGTCAACGCATCAAGGGCAAATGCCCCAGCATGAGGGGGTCAACGCATGAGGGGCCCCAGCATGAAAGGCCGAAGCCCTGTCATGAGGGGTCAACGCATGAAGGGCCAATGCCCCGTCATGAGGGGGTCAACGCATGAGGGGCCAGCCAAGGCCCCAGCATGGGGGGGCAGGGCATGAGGGGTCAATGCATGAAAGGCCGAAGCCCTGGCATGAGGGGTCAACGCATGAAGGGCCAATGCCCCAGCATGAGGGGGTCAACGCATGAGGGGCCAGCCAAGGCCCCAGCATGGGGGGGTCAGGGCATGAGGGGTCAGCGCATGAAAGGCCGAAGCCCTGGCATGCGGGGTCAACGCATGAAGGGCCAATGCCCCAGCATGATGGGGTCAACGCATGAGGGGCCAGCCAAGGCCCCCAGCATGGGGGGTCAAGGCATGAGGGGTCAACGCATGAAAGGCCGAAGCCCTGGCATGAGGGGTCAACGCATGAAGGGCCAATGCCCCAGCATGAGAGGGTCAACGCATGAGGGGCCAGCCAAGGTCCCAGCATGGGGGGTCAGGGCATGAGGGGTCAACGCATGAAAGGCCGAAGCCCTGGCATGAGGGGTCAACGCATGAAGGGCCAATGACCCAGCATGATGGGGTCAACGCATGAGGGGCCAGCCAAGGCCCCCAGCATGGGGGTCAGGGCATGAGGGGTCAACGCATGACCGGATTGCCTGTGTCGCCCCGGTGGCGTAACTCCAGAGGGCTCGGGTGAGATGCTCTTCGGAGATCGACGGTCTCCTTGCAGGCGCCCCGTGCGTCCTCACCCGACTACCCAGCAGGAGCCCTGCGCACCATTGGCACGGGGAGGAGGAGGAGGAGGAGGAGGAGGAGGAGGAGGAGGAGGAGGAGGAGGAGGAGGAGGAGGAGGAGGAGGAGGAGAGGAGGAGGACGAGGACGAGGAGGGAGGACGAGAAGGAGGAAAAGGAGGATGATGATGAGGAAGAGGAGGAGGAGGAATAGGAGGATGAGGAGGAGGAGGAGGAGGAGGAGGAGGAATATGAGGATACGTAGGTGTAGGAGGAGGAGGAGGAAGAGGTGGCGGAGGAGGAGGAGGAGGAGGAGGAGGAGGAGGAGGAGGAGGAGGAGGAGGAGGAGGAGGAGGAGGAGAGGAGGGAGGAGGAGGAGGAGGAGGAGAAAGCTCTGAGGCTCGAGGGAATAAACACGATGACCGTGACCATGGTGTCGCGGGATCTTGTCGACGCCGATCTTGGTCATGGTTCAGGCCGGCCGTCGCCGACTCGCGAGAGGGGTCCACGGATCGACCGTGGGCGATGACCGCGATCGACGCCGCGCTCCGTCTTGGTCGTGGATATCGTTCTCTCTTTTTTTTTTTTTCTCCCGGGGCCGGGCCCGAGGAGACCGAGAGGGACCCCCCAGACAGCAAACTTCGGTAACGAATGAAGTACATCACAACAGAGTTTAACAAGCGGTGCTTGCACTTGTTTTTCTTGTACTTCTTTGTCTAAAAGAACTGGATAGTCAACTGAGGTTTCGCCTGGTGCCTGGTTGGTGGGCGCCCGGGCGCCTCGCGGGCGCTTGTTGCGCTGGGTGGCCGCTTAGCAGTGCACCACGTAGCTTTTACCACATAGCCTACACCACATAGCTTGCACCACGTATATTACATGTTTGGAGCTGGTACTACGCAGCTTACACCATTTAGCCTGCGCCACATAAACTGCGCCGCGTAGTTTACGCCACATGTATGACATCACGCGGCTAACATCACACAGCGCACACCTGCACGACACAGCTTGCACCACATACTTTGTACCGTACAGCTTGCTCCGCATAGCTTAAGCCACATAGCTGGAACCACGGATATTGAACCATATAGCTTGCACCACGTAGCTTGCACCACGTTGCCTACACGTCCAACGTGCACAAGGTGACTGTTTGGGCTCCACGCTGGCAAACATGTTTCCCAGCGATTTTCGCCCTCCATGCTTTCGCCCTGGACGTCTTACCGAGGGACCCGTCGTGCCCCAGTTGGTGCCTAAAAGACGGACCAGCACGACCCCAAGAAGGCTCCAAGATGGTCTTCTCGGCCCCTCCAGGCCGCCCTGGAGTCAGAGACCACAGTGTGGCCCAATCGGGCCTCAGTGGCCTCAAGGCGGCCTCAAACAAAACAAAACAAATCGGAGACCCGAAATATCCCCGATCCGCTGGAAGATGGAACTCGAGGGCTGCCCAAGATAGCCCCACAGCGTCCCACGGACGGCCCACACGCCAACTGTCGCCCCAGGGGGCCGCGAGATGGCGCCAAGGTGCCCCCAGACGGCTTAGGAGGCTTGAAGAGGTTTCAGACATGTCCCTCCAGCAGCAGCAGCAGCATAGCCAACAGCAACACAGCCAGCAGCAGCAGAGCCAGCAGCAGCAGAG